TGAGCTGTGATGCCACAGCACTCTACCAAGGGTGACACAATGAGACTCTGTCTCAAAAAAAAAAAGAAAAGAAAGAAAGAAAAGAAAATTCATTTCCGATGTTTCCAGATGGACGGTGCCTCTAGAGTACACTGCTTTCACTTTGCATAGTTGTGGATGAGTAATATTTAAATGTCATGTGCACAAGACTGGACTACTTCAACAGCCAGGCAGGGTCAAACAGCCCTTAAATAGGGCTTTGGCAGCTCCCAGTCCTACCTTTCTCTGTGCCCAAGTTGTTATAATTCCAAAAAATTGTGCTGTCCTCCTAGTATGTACAGACATACACACACTTTTCCCTCACATCGTATATGTATCACAGAGTCTCTGGTTCCCTTTTCCTCACTATAAGGGAAGGCAAGTGTTGGGACTTGGAAGTATGGTAGCTATGCCAGAAAGAGGTTAAAGGATGACAAACTGACTGCCAGGCAAGGCAGAACAAAGGAAGAGAATAAAGGAGGCAGGAGCAGCAATTACAGAAAGGTAGTCTTGTCAAGAAACTGATGATGATAATGGTACTCGGAGGTCCTCCATTTATAAAGATTCGATATTACAAGTTGTTTTACCAGTAGGGATAAATGAGTTTGTCAGTTCTCCACACTGTCATCTAGCCTCCTGGAGTGAGGATCAGGACAGATTTCAATGGGGGAGCTACAGCTTTGCTTCCAGACACCTCACAGTGTGCCTACTATAGTATAAAATACTAGTTTATAGTGATTAAACTGAATTAGAACAGAGCGATACTAAAAAGATTGCCCTGGTATACCTGGGCTTTATTAATGAATGTGCTCTAGTTGAGCAAGCCAGCCAGAGTATACATACAATAGCAAATGGGAAAAGTAAAATAGAGATAGATTGGACATCCCAAAGTGGGGGCTTAGGAAACTACTAAGTAGCAAAGCTCAAATACTGAGTAGATCTTCACTAGGCTAGTTGGGAAGGATGGAAGGACAAAAACTTGGTTAAATTGTTTAGCCTTTCTGAGCCCCCATTTTCTTATCTATTTTTTTTCATTATTATTAATAATTTGGAGTTAGTCTCACTATGTCACCCCAGCTAGAGTGCATTGTAGCTCATTGCAACCTCAAATTCCTAGGCTCAGCTATCTTCCCACTTCAGCCTCCTGAGTAACTGGGACTACAGGTGCCTGCTACCACACTCAGCTAATTTTCTTTTTTTTTAATTTTTAGTAGAGATGGTGTCTTACTCTTGCTCTGTTGGTCTCAAACTCCTGACTGAGCTCAAGCAATCCTCCCACTTGGCCTCCCAGAGTGCTAGGTTTATAAGCATGAGCTACCATGCCTGGCCTCCTTATCTGTTAAATGAGGCCAATATCTTCTTTGCAGGGTTAATGAGGATTGGAAGTGGTGTATATAAAGCATCTAGTGCAGCGTCTAACTCACAGTAGGCTCTCAAGAAATGTGACCATTATTATTTATCTAGCAGTGACTCCCTTGGGCCATAGCACAGTGCAGTAGGTACCTGAGATACTCATTTTAGCAATTCTTAAGTGTGCTGCTGTATTTCATTTGCATCCATGCTTACACCAACATTATCCTTTGGTCCTAAATGTGCACCAAGTGGGACAGGGGTAGTGGGATGGGACATAAAAGGAGCTTAAGCTCCGCCCTTAGTTGTTAGACTGTATGAGAAAAGCAGTCCCCTGAGCTCACCTGCATGTCTACCACTAAGGAAAAAGTGTCTTTTTATGAAAGCCTCTTTTTCTTGACCTGCTGTGTTCAATTACAAAGAAAATATATATGAGTTGCTTTCAGAGATTTTGATCATAGACAGAGGTTCCTCTTTTTTATTTTATGTTTGACTTTTATGTTTATTGAATGAACAGATGGATAAACTGAAATATCCTAAACCAGATGTGTTGACACCACAGACTATAAGTTGGTAAAGCACCGTCATACTATATTGCCCAGCATGACAGTTTAAGGCATCGAGTTTCAGTTGAGGGATTGGTGGGAAAGTGGGTCAGCTACTGACCATATTATGCTGCTGGTTCCCTCCATCCTTCTTTCCACTTGAGTTATACTCAATTATGTAGAAATGAGTTCTCTTATACCTTCCTTACTCTTTACACCCTCCCTCTCCCCACCAAAATCTTATCCAGTTGTGAGTAGTGCTGCTTGTCAAAAAGATTTAACTTGGCCAGAAAAATCTCTAACATTCCCAGACTTATCCTTTGGCCCCTTAGCCATCCTCTAATGCAGTTGGAACTGTCTACCTTGGACAGTGCCACACAGTCCAGATATTTTCTGCTTTTCTGTCCTCTTATTCCATCATCTTTTCTCAAGACCAAGATAGAAGAGCCAGCTCATCTACTTGACAAGTCTCTGACAGTAGAGATCAGTGTGTCTTCCTTTCCTGTTTAGATTACATGCACATTTTAACTTGGGAACCTTTACAGATAGTTTAAAAGCCAAAGAGTAATTTGGCTTTTAGAAACCATAGATACCAGTTGAAATCTAAGTTTAAATTAGATTAAGAATGTTGTGCTTTCTAAGATTTTTAGAAAAGTTTGTTACTTTATTTATTAATTCATCGAACATTTGTTGGACACCTAATATGTACCAGGTATTGTGCTAGGTAATAGACATTCAAAGATGATTAAGAGTTTGTAACAATTCTCTGGGAGCTCACATTTCAGTGGAGAAGGCAAAGGAACAGAAAAGTAATTATAATATAGTAAGGTAAAAAGTGAGGGCAATAGAAGTAATGTGCTTTGGGGGCACTAAGAATGGGTGCCTAACTGTCAAGGTCCGTCAGACTGTATTTGGCTTGCCAGCAGTGTGGTCATTCTCAGACCCCTGAGCTACAGCAGAAGGCACAAGTGGAGGTGTAGTCAGAGATAAAGAGGGAAAGGTAATCAGGGGCCTGATTACAATATGTCTGGTGAACTAGGCTAAGAAATGTGCGTCAGTATTTTTCAAAGTATGGAAGAGACCTGCTGAATCGGAATCTCCGGGGATAGGGCCTGGGAATTTAAATTTGAACAGGCGCCCCAGTTGAGTGGCTCACATGCTTATCAAAGTTCGAAAAGTAAGGCCATAGATTTTGGGAGCCATTAAAGGATTTTAAAACAGAGGTGACGAAATCAGATTTATGTTTTTGAAGAAAAAATGCAAATGTCTATGTGGAGAATGGGTTGGGGTGAAGATATAAGAACTGGGACAAGACTAGAGGCAGGTGGTCCAATTATGAAAGGACATGTGTTTGGAATAGCATATGACCTGAGTTCAAATCTTATTTCTATCC